AGGACACAAAATGTTCGCGCATCGGATTCCACAGCCCTCCACTCTGAAAAGGGGGAAAAGAAAGAAAAAGAGAGGTGGGAAGAGAACAGGTGGATGCTGCCTCGAGACTGCCAACGCTCTCCGGAACGCCCTCCCCTACCCCCGGCCCGCCATCGTCTTGCGCCCCCAGCGGTCGGGGCGGATGGCGTCGCCTGTTGGTCCGGTGCTGTTCCGGACACCCTTCCCCGGGGAGTACTTTCCCGGCCCGGCGGACCCGTGGCCCCCAGCTGGCGGCACAAACGTGTGGAGTAACTCAGACGACGTTACGTACCGACAACGATTTTTAGATTGTTGTCCCCGCCCCGGCTTCCGGCAGGCCACCCTCGCCGCCGTATGGGGCGTTGCCTTTGCAGCCACCGAAGGCGGTGGTGGGAAAGGCCAGAGGCCCGGTGGGAGGGCAGGCCTGGCCGTAGGGTGCCGGGTTCCCGGAGGTTGCTCGGCCGCCGGGTTACTGTTCGGGCGGCGTGAAGGGCTGGGCGCGTGCGGAGAGCTGCGGACGGGGAGGGGTGGGGGCGCGGGGAGGCGTAGAGGTCGACAGCAGTGACCCGGAAGACCCTCTGGAAGTGGGACCCGTTTCCCGGGCAGGGCCTGCCTTCCTCTGGGGAGACCGCAGTGTTCGGGCTGTAAGGTCGGCGAGAGGGCGCCGAAGGCAAAGGTGGTCAAATTCCCTGCAGTTGCTCCGCGCCTACGGAAAAGAGGGCTGGCCATTAGTGTCCTGTGATACCCTGTGAGAGTGGAAGGGGTCTTTGCAACTGCGCGCCAAGGCGTGGGCCAGGGGGATTCCCAGTGTATCTGTCCAGCGCAGCTCAGCTAAGCAAGTGAATCGGATTCGGAAACTCGCCTTTAAAAAAGCTCACGCTCCCTCCCCCAAATGGCTACGCCACAGAGCAAGTGAATAACAGTTGTGCTGCCTGCCCACAGGAGACTTTTTGGCACGCCCAGGACCATGTCACCACACACCTCGGTAGCTCCCAGTAAAACCTTCCTCTAGAAAGCATCCACTAGGTTACTTTTTGCCACCTACACCTACCAGCCTAGAATCTTCAGTTCCTTCCCAAACCTGTGTGAACACGTGTTTCATTAGAAGCTGCAGAGGGAGGAGGGGGTTCCTGCGGTTGGGGGAGGAGGAACCAACTGAACGATAGGGGAGCTAGAAGGTCCTGTGCCTTGCATCTCCTTGGAGTGCTGGTGACCTTTCCAACCTTTAATAAGAGATGGTTCTACAACAGACCCCAGCCTCCGATTTCTTGATCAAGGGCCTCCATCTGGCCTAAATACACAATCTTGGCTAGCAGCCAGAGTAAATAGTCAAGGGATGTTCGGAAGAAAGAGGATAAGCAAACTTTTCCCGCCCCCCCCCCCCCCAGCTGGAAAGCAAAGCGTTTCTGAGGGTCACCAGGATAAGTTTTAACGCACACTCAAAACCAGACCGCTTTCTGGGTTCTGCTCCCCTTGAAAAGGGCTACTGACTGTTCGATCCTACGGTCAGGCCTCAGTCCCCAGAGCAGGTACCCACACACAGCCGCCCCTTCCCTAGATGGACGCAAAGGACATCTCTTCCAAGAGTTGGGTCCTAATGGAGCCAAAGACCCTGAAAAGGATCCCCCATGAGCTGAGAAGGAATCAACGCCCTACCCCAGGCCCCGCGAGTGATGGGACAGCCCCTCGCCTACTCTGCTCTCTCTACCCCGTAGCTCTAAGGCACAACTGCTCAAAGTGTGCTTTGCAGGTATGAGGCCCCCGGGACACCCGATTTCTGCCAAGGCTCAAAACCAGAGGACGGGAGAGTGCGAGCGCACTATGCACCCCGAGCCTGCCTGGCCAACGCGCCACAGCCTTTTGTGATAACCAGCCCTCTAAAGATAAGCAGCACTTCTGCCCTGCGGCGAAACCGGCTGCCTCTCCTTGAAGGGTTGGGGCGACCTCGAAGCCCCGGAGGGCGGGAAGGGGCGCCTCTAGGTGAAGTTTCCAGCCGAAGCCAACAAACGGCGCTGTTGCCACGCCCTGGGTCTTGGGAGTCCCAGCCCCAGCCCCAGTCGGAGGGAGCCCGAGCTCTCATGGGAGGGCCGGGGGAATAGGGAGGGGGTGCTTGGCCGGATTCCCAGCCCGCCATCCGGGGCTCTGTGTGCCGCCACGGGTTCCTGGAGGCCCTAAAGGGCGAGAGAGCTGCCGGGCGCGCTCTCCTCTCGGGAAGAGGTTCGAAAGGACTGGTCCTGGATCCCGCTGTGTCCCTCTGCTTTCTTCACTCGGTGCAGAGTTGGTGTCGAAGACACAGATTCTGGCGCCGCTGGCGGTCTTGCCTCCCCGCATCCCCCGCCTGCATCTAGGCCCCTCGGGCCTTAGCACCTGCCGCACCACTTCTCCTCCCGCCCAGCTAAGGTAGCGCCCAGACTTCCTGACTTGCCCCCACCTCCCCACGCCTGTAATGGTAACCTCGCTCGACTCTTGAGATGGTAGTTTGGGTTGAGGACGCTTCCTCGGGAATGTTTTGAAGGAAATTCGGCGTGACTCCTACATGGGGCTGTGCAGACCACCCCAGAGCCACCAGGCACAGAGACCGGTTTAATCGCGGCCTCCGAGGGAAGCCTGGGGTGTGGGAGATGTCTGTCCCGGCTGGATACTGGCGGAAGGATGTAATGGGAACGTGAACTCACCTAAGCTGCGGGCTAGTTGTGATCAAATGACAAACAGCTGGGGAGCAGTGACTAGTCCCCAGATAATCTGCTGCGGGGAGGAGAACAGACCCAGCACCGCATCCCTCGGCTTGGGAAATATGCAGCCCAGGCGCTGTCACCACAACGGCTTACTTGGGTCCTAAAACTTGGAAAGAATCCTGACATCTGTCAGGCTACTGGACGCCAGGCCGCGCGTCGGTTGGGTAGTTTCCTAAAACGCGCTTTACTTAGCAACAGCCTCGGAGGCCCAGAGAGCAGGAAAGGCGTTCTGGAGAAGAGCAGGAAAGGCGTTCTGGAGAAGGCGGCAAGGGGCAGAGTTACCGCACGTTGACTTCTTTGGGAGAAGGTGGGTTTGCCTAGGAAAATTTGACTTTGTGAGCTAGTTTGAAAAAAAAAAAAAAAGCATGTGCAGGTGGAGATTGCCAAATCATTCCGTTTTCTGAGACACGTTTTCCAGTGTGTCAGCTTAAGTGTGCACACCCGTGCGCGCGTGCACACACACACACACGACTCATACACAGAACCATTCCAGATAGTTTACTTTAAAACCGTAAGCCGTACACCCATTCAAATGACAGCAGCCCTTGACCGTGGACATTTGCTTCCTTCCATCCAGAAAAGCAAGAGAACGTAGACCAGGTGGAATCCAAACTTAAGGGGCTGGTTTAGGGACTCCAAACTTCGAGGGGATGATGCCTGCTGAGAGCCAGGATTCTAGCGCCACTGGTCCGCCCACCCCAGAGGGGGCTGGCCTGCTCTACGCCACCCACACCCCCCCCCCCAAGTCACAACGGTATACTTTTAAATTCGTGCAGGAAAGGGGGGAGTTCCCAGCGTGCAGGTGTCCCAGGGTCTCCTGGTCTTGCATTAGCACTAAGGAGCTAAAAACCTGGGTTTGTTTTTATTTTTTTGGTCACATTTAGGATTTACGCTTTTCTTTCGGTTCCCCGTCTTTCCACGAGGCTGGGGGTGGGGGACCACACTGCGCGGACACCTTATTTCAGTCTCTGCCACTTCTGCCTGGCCGGCTACTCCTTCCCACCCACCGCCTCGGGCGGCTCGGGGAGTTTCAAACGCTGTGCCACTCGCTTGGGCTGGCGAAGGCGATTGTCCGGGTTCCCTCTCCCTGCAGCCCGGGTTCCCGAGACGTTAGTCTTTGGCAGACAGCATGACATGCGGGTGAGTGTCCCGCTCCGAGTCTCGAGGCTCTGGCCAGGACGGCGGCTGTAAAACAAAAAAGAAGAAGGACGCAATCCGTTAGCAGAGACTGCTCCCCGGGGAGGCGGCGCGGCTGCGCAGCGAGAGCAGCGCTCAGTGGTCCTGGCAGGTGCGCGGCCAGTGGAGGGGGCCCGGCGGTCCGCCCCGAGGACGGCCTCGGCTCCTCTCCGGCCACCGTCCCCCCCTCCAAGAAACTTTTCTTTCACTTGGAGAGGCTCCGTGTTGCCATGAAAACGGATTTTCCAAGGGGCCCGACCCTCCCCCTCAGGGGCATCGGACTGGAAAAACCGAAATGGCCAGAGAGCAGAGACAAAAAGGGGCCGCTAAGCGGGGGCCTGGAGCGAGAGAGCCGAGGCCGGTTCACCCCCTCCGCCCCACACACACTCTCCGCACCACCGCTTGTGAGCGCCTCGGCCCGGCCCCGGCAGCAGGCGGCTGACTGCTCGCCTTCACTCAAGCCAACGGAGAGCCTCACAGCCCCTGTGCGCTCCGCGGTCCTGAAGCCTGTCTCCCGTGCCCCGGTGCCTGACCCCGGCTCCATCCTCGGCGCGCAGGCCCGAGGCTTCCCCGCAGAGGGTCCTGCTGGGCCAGGGGCCGATTCCTGGGAGGGCTTCTCGGAGCCGCAACCCGGGGCGCCTCTGTTGCGCCCGGCGTCCCCAAGATCGCCCGGGTAACTGGCGATGCCCGCAGCAGAAGCAGTCGGAGGACCTCCGCGCAGACAGCGGGATGCTCTGCAGGGTGGCCCCGAGACCAGGCACCGCTCGGCCCTGACGGGGCTGCAAAGTTGTTTTCTGAACCCCGTGGGCGCCCCTCTGCCCCCTTCCCCCAATCCTGCTCACGCGCCCCCTCCCCCCTCCGTCACCTCCTCGAGTTTCGTTCTTTCAAACTTTTTGAGACCCTAATTGGTGGTCTCTGAGCGGCTCTCCGGGACTCCCGCCTCCTGAATAACTCTCATCACGTCACCGGGCCCCAGAGGGGCGCGGGGGTGAACGAAAGGGCTCCCCGAACTTTTTTTTTCCAGTGGGGCCGAACGGGGACTCCGTGATGATTGGCCAGGGCGCATCACTGTGAGCCTGTCAATCACCGGGCCTCCCGGTGGCGAGGGGCGGACCGAGTCCCAACCCCGGGGGATCCGAGCAGGTATATAAGGGACCCGGCGAGCGCCTGGCCAGACTGCGAATGCGGCCAGCTCGAGACAACGCATCAGGTGCGACTAGCCTGCGGGTTCCTGCCGACTTGGCGCGGAGCACTTTGGCAAGCCTGCCCTTCCCGCCTGACCCGCCGGCCCCCCGGCCCCCAAGCGCCCCTCCGACGGAGTCCCCAGGCCTTTTCACCGTGGCCGCTCCAGCCCCGGGAGCGCCTTCTCCTCCCGCCACTCTGGCGCACCTTCTTCCCGCCCCGGCCATGTACAGCTTGCTGGAGACCGAGCTCAAGAACCCCGTGGGGCCACCCACCCCAGCGGCAGGCGCGGGCGGCCCCGCAGCCCCCGGCGGCGCAGGCAAGAGCGGCGCGAACGCAGCCGGCGGAGCGAACGCAGGCGGCGGCAACGGCGGGGGTTCGAGTGGCGGGGGCGGGGGCAGCGACCAGGACCGCGTGAAGCGGCCCATGAACGCCTTCATGGTGTGGTCCCGTGGGCAGCGGCGCAAGATGGCCCTGGAGAACCCCAAGATGCACAACTCCGAGATCAGCAAGCGCTTGGGCGCCGACTGGAAACTGCTGACCGACGCCGAGAAGCGGCCGTTCATAGACGAGGCCAAGCGACTGCGCGCCGTGCACATGAAAGAGTACCCGGACTACAAGTACCGGCCGCGCCGCAAGACCAAGACGCTGCTCAAGAAGGACAAGTACTC